AACCACATTTGTAGTGATAGAAAATCATCGTCCTCCAGTGATGTCAACTGAGTTCCATCCTTACAGTTCTAGTATAACGACCTATATGACTTGTGAGTTTTGCTCGACCGTTGATATTTGATTCGGTGAGTTGCAATTATTAGACAATATTCATAATAGATTAAAGTTCATCTTTTCCTTATCCGATCATGTATCCAAAAATGTTTCGCTCAGCCCTCGTTATATGGGGTGTACGGGTCAAAGAAAAGCTATTTGAACCGGGTATTTCAGCTCAGTGATTTGTCACTTGAACGATATGATTTTGTTTCTTCCTCATCGAAGTCATTCATCTTCGTGATTCATGAACACACGACGCCAAACCTCCGACAGAAGGTAGAGCACCGGAGAAAAACTAAATACAAGACCATTACTATTTTTAGTGATTTATCTTGATGCAGGCCACACTATGGATATCCGATCACATCAAATCAAGCCAACCAAACCCATAATTTGGATATAATTTCGTGATCATCGTTCTTATGTAGTAGTCTAACGTATGCTCGTTTGTAGGCATCATACACCCAAAAAGCCAACTAGGCGGCATGTTCTCACTCCGCAAGCACTGAGGGTGTCACTTCGGTTGGTGTTGAATTGTTTGCAAACAAATCGCCAAGCTAGGCGAACAGCAGAAAATGAATTTTCCCGTCTATAAAAAGTCCATCGTCTAATTTAATGATTGAAATTGATTGCAGCTCATATAAATGTCCCCATGGTGGATGAAACATCAGACTGGCGAAGCACGTTGATGATGCGACGAGACTGGCTTTACCTATGCCTCACACGCCATTGCTAAGTTCAAGAGTTATTCAATAAGATCGACCACATTTCCACAGCATCAAATGAGTATAAATTGACCCACAATGTACCTGCTGACAAAAGCAATATATTTACGTGGTATATTTTTCTCCAGCTACCATTACGCTAGAAATAATTGTGAATAAGTACTAGGGTAGAGCTTGGGTTCCACATGAATCTATGCTAGTAGACGGTCTCTCTCCAGAAGAGAATATAATGAGCCTTTATTTTACCGACAGGATATGGTTTGTAAACTTTGACTGTTGACTGCTTATCAATAACCGGAATAAGGGTAGATAGGACTTGCTGTCTGCAGAAATTGCTTTTCTGATACTAGCTCCT